CCCCACGCCCACGCCCACGCCCACCGCACACCGGGGAGAGAGATGACCGCCATTCGTGCAATGTACTTAAAGGCTTCTCGACGGCACTTTGAGGAAAGGTGGAAAAGGCTGCTGTTTATTTTCTGTATTCGTTTCCGGTTACTTGAATAACTTATCCGTGCATGTTAGCACCACGCAGCTTTACGCTGTTAAGATTGTAGGCAACAATTCGGGATTCGCGATAGGCCATATTTTCTTCTTTCGTTTACCACTGATGTCTACACCACATTCATTCCAACAAGAAGAGCCCCTATTACTCTGTCGATCTCTGCATATAAATAACGTGTTGTACACGTAACGCTTCAACTCTCAAATTCCAGGCGTATTAGTTTATTCAAGGTCAAACTTTGGTTTCTCGGGTACAATTATAAAACGCAGAAAAATTGAGAGCACAGTCGCGGAAAGATGGATGAGTTTTAGTCTGACCCTAAAGAAAAGAACTTTCGTACTAGTAAAAACAACTTAACTGGAGTTAACAAGGTAAACCAAAGCAGTTGCGCACAAATATTTACTCTTTGTAATTACGAGTAACCGACATTCCTTATATCAGTACAAGAACTATTTTTTATTTAATTCAGTACAAAGATGTATTCCATGCATTTACGACGTAGAACGAACAAAGTAAATTTCGCTATTAGGCTGCTCAATTTCAGGGTATTTCTTTAGCCTTAATATCCACATACCGTTGGTAAATTGAAATGAGAAAGAAATTGTCAAAAAGCCTTCTTTCATTCAGACGAAGTCCGGAGGGTAGTCTCTTGGAAAAGCAAAACGCGTCATCTCTCGCCCCAGAGCATGAAGACCGGCCCCTCCGAAGAGCATGGGCTGGGAAGCATCATGTTTTTGTTTCGTCAAAATGTACTATTTGATTATTTTGTAATATTGTCATTATAATTATTTTTATTATTATTACATTTCTAGTGATTTTAGTCCAAAGAAATGCATGAAAGAGTATAGCAAATCTTGTTAATTATTTTTAATTCGTGTGTTGAAGTAAAGCTGAGGAACGGTGTATGTGCTAATGTTTGTTAATAAATCAACAATTAAATAAGTAGTCTGGACGTGTAGTTTTAATGTGCAAGTAGTGTTGTGTCTTACAATCCTGAGTTCCTCCCAGCATGGGAAATGCAAATAATACAAATGCGGCCAGGGATTCTCATACTTGATATTCTTCATGCGAAACTCAACTTCTTAACTACAATTGGACGGAAGTAACCGAATTGCTTAACCATGATATTTAAATTCTTTATACTTATACTTTACAAAAAGCAAATAAAATTTATCTTCACTTCTCCCTGGATACATGTACTCATTTCATTATCTGTTCTTACACAGTTTTCAGATAAAGCGAATCTGTTAACATTCAAGATTGTACATTTGAATAATGGATTACGCCGATTGATTACATTTTCCAACTTCAAATTACTTGTAATTTATTGAAATAAAATAAAATGAGATATTCCCAACAATATTTGAATTCACAATAATGTTAAGATTATTTTAAAACTATTTTTCGACGGCCTGAATTAAAAAACATGCTAAATCATCTCATTAGATATGTAAGCTATGTCGCATTCAAAGACTGTACTTGAGACACCCTGGAGCGCAATTGAAACCTCCCAAGGCGGGATTTCCGCCACGGAATAGCTTGCCTGACGACGCGCGCTTCCGATAGTCCAGCATGGGGGAATGTACTGTGTCCGTTCATTGTTTTTGCTTGCATCACGTGCCACTCAAGTCAGGTAAGATATTTGTGTAAAAGAAGATTTCTGTAACATCTTGTCTGAGGTAAGTTTGGACGAAAGAAAACAAGGTAAGTCATAGTCAGAGGCCATTCTTCTTAACACAAATAATAATTGTGCTGTTTGAATAGTTCTTTTTTTGCAGTAGGACCAAAGAATATTTTAAGCAGCTGTTTTCAGAAATATACTCGTATTACCGGCTGCTTGTTCTCGAAACAAATCTCTATTACTAGCTTGCTTTGTAAGTGAATCACTGAAACTTTTTATTTCAGTATTACTTAATCTGACAAACGCGTACTAGATGTATGAAAACACACTTTTCTAATGTCCACGAATACAACTAATGACTTTGTTAAATAACAAAAGGTAATATGCGTCATAATTGTGTGTGTTCAGGTTGTATTTTGATCTCTAAGGAGGATTTATTTATTGGTGAAAAAAAGCTCAACATTGCTTTCCATGAGCTGACTTTACTTCATATTTTTTATTCTACAAAATATGTAATATCCCATATTAATCAAGACGTGTTGACATCCAGAGTAGAGATGGCGTACATTAATGACATTACTATGCGAAACCAAATGCGAGAACAAGTGAATCTAAGATATTGAAAAGGGCAAATTTGCTCATCTCTGACTGATGCCCATTTCGAAATTATTGATTCAATATTGTTACGTCATTACTTCAGTTATTAAGTGCTCAAAAATACTATTCTGAAGTCCAGTCATTTTATTTGCTAAAACAAATCGTTGAATAGTTTTAATTTTTGGTCCCTTTTGGAGGTATCCGATTAGCCATTCCAATAGGCAGCCGAGCTAATGGGAAGTTGCGAAAACGTTCGTCAAAATTCCACTATAAATTACGCCTAATCGTTACAAAAAAAACACAACAAAAAAAGTAGTAAGAAGATTTCTCACAACAAAATCCAATGGATTTTTTTGGCAACCTTCAGATTCATATTCAGCACCTATAAAAACAAGAAGGAACAAAAAATCAACACTACATCACAATTTGTTTTAGCAAATGGAATAACTGGACGATTAATCTAGTGTTTAGGTTTTCTCCATGGTTGTCACTGCCGTGGAAACTAGTCTCACTTTCACATTTTTTGGTATATGAAGTATATTGGAACAAACTGCGGAATAAACTGAATTCCTTATCTGATGAGTCGCCCTCCTTTCCTCCTTCCCTAATCATTTAGTGCTGGCGACGTCAATGGCTATTCTAGTAATGTTTCGATTAATGTGTCAGTAGGTCAAAATACCACCAAAACGAAGCAAACACCGATCCTTCACATTAGCACCGAGGTTATGGTGATTGGATATCATAAAAACATCCATGCAATTTAAAACTGCCAATTACACACTTGTGTATTTTAATGGAATGAGGTTGATTCCCCATTAAAGTAACTTCTGAAAGATGACCATTCCTACTCCCCATACCACAACCAGTCTTCTCCAAACAGAAAATGTAGACAAAAGTTATAAAATCACAGGCGAGAGCAGTGGCGTAACGCGAGGGATGACACGGTAGGCACGGACCACTCGCTGAAGAAAAAAAGTTTAGGAAAAAATGTTCATACAGAACATATTCCTCAACTCCGATTCCACTTTCAAACAAGAAGAAGGAGCTGTGACTCGTAGTATGCGTCTTCCAGTAGAGTGGAAAGCCTTCACTTCAACCACTGTGGTCACACCTCCCTGTCATTTTTGCCAAATTCCGCGATTCGACACTACGTTTCAGTGTCGAATACACTAAATACAGCTATGTTGTAATTAACCTATTTAAATCATGTACGTTTGAATTAATTAAATCGATAAATTTTAGTAAAAGATAACAATATTTTAGATAACTATACACTATACTATTTTAACTTCGAAAGATCTCAGCTTGGATTTTCCCATTTACCCGTTTGATCTTTCCCTCTCTACACCAGTGGAAGAAGCACGCAAAGCAAGGCAAGAGCAAAATATACGAACAGGTATCTCAGAATAAATGTCACACACGTCTAGGGCATGCAGGGTGTTGGAAGATGACCATCTTTGCCAATGATAACGCGTGCGACATTTCCTCCATACGGCTGCTAACTTACGGACTGGTGTTTGGCAGGCCGCGTTCTGACGCAGATTTCGTATTTGAAACTTGGTTCCATAAAATTTCACGCGCGTGTTCATTGACCAAAAGTTATCTTCCCCCCTCCCTAAACGTCATAGAAATCCGTAATTCCGAAAAAACTATAGAAGACAGTAAATGAAAGCGAGAGTAAGTGGCATGTGCGGCTTTATTTCCGGATGTTGCGTGTGGCGGGGCGTGCTTGATGTGTCACTGTGCGGAGGCGGAGGCGCCTGAGGCTGCGGCGGCGGCCGCGGCGGCGGTCACGGTGACACCCGAGCAGAGGTGGGCGCAACCGCAGCCGGTGGTCTGCAGGCCGATGCGCTCGGCGCGCGCCAGCAGCCCCAGCAGCGCCATCAGCAGGCAGATGGACAGCTCCACGAACCGCTCCTGCGCCCGACCCACAACCACTTCATGATACTATTGTACGCGCACACGTTCTTCACACCCCGGAATACCTATCTCCACTCCCTAACAAACGTTAGGAGGACTGAGAAGAAATGTTAGTGCATTGTCGAGTGTTGTTTGCGAAACCAGTAGCACACACACGCTGAAAATGGGTCATTTCGTTCTTCGTTCATCAGTATGTATTGATTGACGTGCATTAAAGGGGGTTTTGTTATTGATATATGGGTTTCAAGTGATATAATGCGTTCGTGTGTCTGTAATGTTAGTTGGACTGGAATGCTGGTGAAACACGAGTCGTTGATGAGGAAGGCGTTTCTAGTCTTAAGCCGGAGGCACGCGAATCAAATAATGGAAGGTTGAATCAAATTTAATGTTTATTGACTTTGCTAGAATCCTTGATTTTCAAATATAACAACGAGGACGGGGCAAAATTAACGGTGCAGAATTAACCCTTCTTTCGTGCAGTTGAGCGGTAACAACTGCTCAGTATTAAGCATTTAAGTTCTATTGAAGCTTCCAAGCCCCCGACTAGAACGCCTCAGCAAGGGCTAGTAAAAACATTGTTTTCACTGGCAACGACACGGCAAGATCCTCAGAGTTGCCTGTCGCTGCTTCAGACTAAATTCGATTCTCGCGTACACGCTTTCCCTTACAGCGTTGTGTGATTTACTTGCTCATTATACCCCTGTTTATTCCTATCGGTCTTTAGGATTTAATTTTATTAGAGACATTATTTGAAAGTTGGTTAGAGTTAAGGGAATAAGTGTATACTTCAACGCCATATTTAATTAATAAGCAATATTAACATCCGTTAATTATTTTTACTTTTAGTCGCCTTTTGTAGTTGCTATCGCCTATAACAAAAGCGCCCGCCTCACGACATATTCAGCAGCGCTTCCGAGTGGTGCTGTTGCTGGCTTTAAATGAAGATTTTCACACGAGAGGGGCAGTGGTGTCTCTGGCGGTTAGTGGCGCACTCCCGCTTCTAGCGCCGCAGCCGCGCGTCAGCGACCCCGCCAATAGACCTGCCAGTCTTCGCACTACCAGTCGGAAGCGCCACCGGGACCATGCTAAAATGTTGACTGCCATGCAACGGCCAGCGGTCACTCAAGAATCCTATCCTTCCCACGCTTAGTAGCGGTGGTGGGTTGCTGTGTTGGAAAGGGTGTGGCGTTTTTCGACGGCGAATGGTACCGCGTGAAGGCGA